TATATATATATATATATATATATATATATATACTTATAGTTTACTATTATAGTTGATTTGTTTAAAAAATTCTATTTTTTATTAAATTTAATTAAGATTATCACTTTTTTAAAATAATATTATGATATAAAATAATTTTATAATTAAATAGTTAGCTCTTATTAAATAATCGAAATATAATTTATAGGAAATATTCTCGAATGAAAAAATAAACAATAACTAACATTAATATGAAAATTTATAATTATGTGAAATGTTATTACATAAAATTTGAAATTTTTTATCATTCTATATTTCAAAATCTTTAATCTTATTATGAGCAACATCAAAATATAATCAATCATCATATATATTACATATGTAAAATATATATATATTATATATTGAAAATACATTATATAGCATAAATAATATAAATTTTTCTTTCTATTCTCTGTAGGTATATAGTATCATAGAAAGCGTTTGTGCTAGCTATTTTATATCGCAATTATTTGAATATTCACTCTTCACTCCTAGTAATATATGTGGTCCAGCGATAATGCTTCTCGTGATGAGTTTGATAACGTGTCTAATAGCTTGGTGCATTTGGAAATTCGTAGATTTTACGAATAGAGGTCAAGTTATAATTGTAAGAAATTGTTTATTTAAATTATAAAGTAATCAATTGCATTAATTATTTTTTTTAATAATATATAAGTAATCTTTAGGATATACATATTATATATTTCTGATCATTGTATCGATTTATATTTTTTGATACAATTTCTTCCTTATCTATTTTTGGTAAAGAAACATGTAGTTTTCCATTTAGTTTTCTATGGCTTTAATGACTGTTATAATTATCAATATGAGTGCTGGAATTTGGGCTCTTGTCAGACACGAACAAGTAGATTTATTAGCAATTGCACATCATAAACATGTGTTCGAGCTCGCTATATCAGAAAATCATACAGATTTAGGTCATATGAATTCAGCTCTTTGGGATCAAATTCATTCAGAGGTATATTAAATTAATTTATTATGTAAAATCGTTTCTAAACACTTGCTTTTCTTTAGTTGCATTGTTGTGGAATAAATGGTCCAACTGATTATCTCAGCAAAGATGCAGTTCCTTGGTCTTGCTGTGTTACATCGTCACTTACAAATACTACCAATAGTAAAGGAATATGTATTACAATGTATGCACGCGGTTGTCAATATGTTATAATAAATCGTATTAGATCAATTCTTCTTCATATTTTCTTGCTTGCATTGTTTACAGTATTATTACAGGTAATAATATTTACTAATTAATTATCACTATAAATAAAATTAAAAATTTAATGGTACCTATTTTTAGCTATGTTTCATGACGTGTATGTTATGTTACGAAAGAACATGTCGAGAAAGAATGAAAAGAAGAAAGAAATTAATAACTCTTGCCCAATCATTTGCGCAAGCATCTAAAGATTTGGGAACAAATGACAATATTTTAAATCAACAATCAAAATATTCTAAAATATTAATTACTTAATAATATACTTTTATTATATTTAAAAAAAAAAATATATATGTTTTCTTAATCGTTCATATTTGTATCATATTATACATCTTTAATTTAATTTAATCGTAGTATTTTATAATGGTATTTATTCATTTCAAAGTTTTGATTATATCGAATATGCATTAACTTTTTATGTTACATAAATATTAATAATATATATAACAATACTAAAATATAATTAATGCCAAAAATATTGTGCCATTCTAAAAAATATATAAAATATAATTTTCTTAAATGAAAACATTTCAAAATTAAATATAAATAATAAAGAATTATATTAAATTAAATTTTATTAAATATTATTAATTTTTAATGTGAGAAAACAAATCTTTTATTATCAAATTTATGTTATAAGAATATAAATGACGTTTGTTTGATTTAATATTTATTATATATATTAACATAAGTAATATAAGTATTATTATATTATTATATACAAATTTGTAAAATTTTCCTACAATTAAAATAAATATTTATATAATAATTATAATTAAATTCAATATTTATATAGGAATCTTATATCTACAATGTATAACATATAACAAGTCGATCATAGTAAGTACGGAAAATATTGCCATGGAAAATTTCTTATACCGGATGTTGATCAATTAAAGCGAATCAAAATGTAATATTAATTACAAAATTTCATTGAATTTTTCAATGAAAAATTTAATATATTTCGTATTTTATTTTATTAATATTATTTTCAAATCGTGAAGTTTATATAGAAATATTTAATCTTTCTAGATAAAGACGGGTGCGGCGTTATTGCGCTTCATGACTGGACTCGTTTCAACTGTAGTATCAGTTGAACGTGAGACGTCGGTGTTGCAGTGTTGTTCATGTCATCTCTAACCTAACCTGTTGAATATTTTCCTTTGAACTTTTGATATTTATTCGGATTTTTTTTTCGAAATAAAAGTTACTGGAATAACTACGAAGATGAGTTGCGGAATGGGAATGATAAAATATCTACTCTTCATATTTAATTTCATCTTCGCGGTTAGTAATAATTATTTATTATATTTTTATTTGTATTTACTTAAGGCATGATATTTAATTTATGTTTTATAATTTTATATATAATCATTTAATATTAAATAATAAGTTTTTCTGTTATTATCCTAAAACTCATTATGAAATTAACAATTTACTAAAGATAAATTTAGCTTGTTTTTCATTATGTATAAATAATTTTTATGTTATGTTTGATATTATGACAAAATCAATTTTAGATAACTTTTTTTAGGAGACTTTTAAATAATAAATTTTATTTATATATTTTTAATTGTTAATAGTTAAAAGAAAAGAATGATAGTCAATGTTAGATTTTTCATAAATTTTATATGAATTTACTTTTATGTAAATTTTTCGATTTTAATATCATATTTTTATTTAAAAAAAACTTCAATATTTATTTTAAAAAAATAATAATTTTCACTTTGAATTCATAATCTTATCAATTAGATATGATTGTTCGTGTAAATATACTATCGAAATGTAAGTATATTGCAATAAATTCCTGCAATGCCTTCATTGTCAATATCGCCAATCATCTATAAAATTTAATATATTTGTAATTATTAATTATAATGAAATATATTTGAAATAAAAGGATAAAAATGAAGAGTGAATCCCAAACACTGAATTAGTTTCGCATAGGTTTGTTTAAATATACGCCAATGTAAGTGGTAAATTGTGAGTCATGCGATAAGAATAACTCATTACGAATACATAACTCATTGAAAAACGTTAACACTTTTGAATTCTAATTGCTAGATTAGTTTTAAAAAATATATTTATATAAATATTTAATTATTAATTGTTTTATAACTACAAATAATTTTAATAATAATTTCATTAAATGTAAATATGAAAAATTATTATAAACTTAATTAGTACTGATATAAAATTTACAAAAAATCTAAAAAATATTTGTTATCTTATATAATGAATAGAAAATCATAATGTAAAAAATGGAACAAATATAAATTTTTTTCAATTATTAAATAATTGATAATAGTGATTTTATTTATACTAAAACTGTAGTGTATTCAAATCTATAAAGTACATTTATAGATTTTTATGTTATTTATAAATGAATTTTATTAATTTATTTTTAATAATTTAATATTCATTCAAGATTATAATATTTTTTAAATCACTATAATAATAATAATATGAAATTTCAAAAACAAAAACTATATATGGTACTTTATATAATAATATTTTTAATAATTTAGAAGATAGTTTTTTTGAAAAAAATAAATTATCAATGAAAACACTCTATATATATTCTTGTAAAATTATATTAAATCCTTAGTTTCCTCATGATTTCACGATCTTATATGATTTAAGGTTATGATTGATTTCTTGAAAATATATTTCCTTTTTCTTTTTCTCTTTTATATTAATAATATTTATGTTAAGAAATTGCATTTCCTCATAAATGACGTAAGCATGAGCTATTGCCAGGGAATGATGAGTGTGAGATGAAAGAATAGAGATAGAATAAGATGTTTTTCGTGTATTTCGATAGGCACACTACCATCATGTTTTTAGTGATTGCTCCACGTTCATCTTGATTAGATCTTAGATTTTTATATCATTCGATCATGCAACGAGTGTTTCTCCTCTTTTTTAATTTATCGTGTTTTATTCTTTATAATTGAATTAAGCACTGAATAAATCAAAATGAATTGTATTTCAGAGTGTATAAAATATTTGCTTTTTATTTTTAATTTTATTTTTATGGTAAGTGATTGATTGATTTTTTTATTTGAAAATAATAAATTGTTTATAATTAGAATTTAATTAAGATCTTTATATTGTTTTATTTATTGAGTTTTTTAGATCGTAGATAATTTTTTTTTTAGCTTAATATTAGAAAAATAAATAATTTATAGAAAAAATAAATATTTAAGATATTTTTCAAAGAATCTATTGATAATAATAAATTAAACTATTGACATTACTGACAAATTAACTATTAACATTTTGTTTGTATAATTGATCGAAACTGAAATGAGAATAAGAAATGGTCTGTAGTATTATAAAAATGAAAAAGCACATTCCAATTCCAACTTACCTAACTAGCATATTGGTCCGGAATAGTTTATATGCTTTATAACGAAACTGCGTCATTTCTTCAAGGTCACAGGGAACTGAATGTAATTTTGCTCTAAATTGCTTGTTTTACTCAAGGTTTAGTTGAGTTAAGATATCCTTGAAATTTTATGCTCGTAACATACCATTTAAATGTTACATGTAATATTCTTTACATTATTGTAAAGAATTATTTTTTTACATTATAAAATAAATGTTAATATTTTATAATGTTACGTAACATTCAATGATCATAAATTAAAAACTAAATTGTTAAAAATTAAAAATAATGAAAAATAATCATAAATCATAAATAAATCTTAAATAAAACAATTTTATAATAATTTTTATAAAATGAAATCTTTTACGTACAGCATTTTGTTATATCCATTGATATATCTAACCAAGAAAATCATATTGAATTTTCTACATTATGAGTCATGTCATTAGGAATTCATATGTTCTTTTGAATTTTAGAATATACTACTATATAAATTAAATTCTTATTACTACTGAATTTAATGCTATGTGAAATACTATTCGCACGTGAAATTAAATAATCTTGCAATTCATACATCATTGTTTAGGAATTAAAAATTTTTTGGTGTTTATCATATACAAGAAAATTATTCAATAAGAACCATATTTTTAACATATAATGGAATTTATTTATTTACGATCAAATTTTGTTTATTTTAATTCCTAATTATTATATACAATAATATTTTTTATCAGATTTTTTACATAATTGAATAATTTTCATACGAACACCAGTTATATCACGTATATAATCATATAATTGAATATTTCCTTCTCTATTTTAAACTATTACAGAAGAATATTCACGTTGTATATGATACAATATTGAACAATGTAAAATTGAATTTATGTAATAATATTATGTAAAATACGAAAAGATTTTGACAAGTTATAATTAGAACGTAAAATTAATATATATATATATATATATATGAAGTGATTAAGATTATATATAAGAAATTTAAATAAAAAATGCAGTGTAATATTTTTAAATTCATTTCTCGATTAAAAATTATATTTCATTAAATTTTAAATATTGCTTTTTTTTTAATTAAAATATTTATTATTAAAAATACTTATAGTCAAAAGCATTAATATCGAATCATTTTAATTTTCAAATTTGAATGTTTAAATAGAAATTTTTTAATTTGAATTTTAAATTTCAAAGAAGAAAAATTGGTTGCTTTTTTCGTTTCACATTAAATTTACATTAATTTTTAAATAATTATTTATAAAGACAAATGAAAAGAATTAGTCATATGGATTGTTAAATATGAAATAACTCGAGTTTAGTTCATTATGTTTTTAATATTTAAACTTCCATCCATTGTATTTATAATAATTCATTACCATTAGCACATAATTAATCTTACGCAAAATTTTTATCTTAAAAAATATTAAGTTTTATGTATAATATGTTTAATATGTTATTTATAATATGTTTTTAAGTATATATATATATATATATAT